ATTCGGTTTTCCAGCTTCCTAAAAATCACAATTTTTTGTATGTCTCAATCAAATTAGACTTAATTGAAGACCTGTTTGTCCTATGAATAACCTCGGAATTTCAGATCGTTTCGAGTGTGTGAACCTAAATTAGGATTTTTTTAAGTAACCGCAATTGTTAGAAATTCATTTTTTGCATACATTCGGTTTACCAGCTTCCTAACAATCACAATTTTTGTATGTCTCAATCAAATTAGGCTCAATTGAAGACCTGTTTGTCCTATGAATGACCTGGAAATTCCAGATCGTTTCGAGTGTGCAAACGTAAATTATGACTTTTTTACCTAACCGCAATTGTTAGAAATTCATTTTTGCATACATTCGGTTTATAAGCTTCCTAAAAATCGTAATTTTTGCATATATTAATAAAATTAGGCTCAATTGAAGACTTGCTTGTTCTATGAATAATCTGGAAATTTCAGATCGTTTCGAGTGTGCAAACTTAAATTAGGATTATTTTAAGTAACCGCTCTTGTTAGAAATTAATTTTGGTGCATACTTTAGGTTTACCAGTTTCGTAAAAATGAGGCTCACTGTAGTCACTGTACTCAGTTGAAGATTTCCTAGTTGTATACAGGGCATGAAAATTTTAGATCGTTTGGAGCGTGCAAACTGAAACTAAGAATTTTTTTATGTAAGCGCACTTGCTAGATATTGATTTTTTGCATACATTCGGTTTACTAACTTCCTAAAAATCACAATTTTTGTATTAGCTGGGTTTGTGAGAAATGGTTTTCTTGTGCTTAAAACAGGTTCATCAGCTTTCCAAAAATCAGAAATCAAGTGTATCGCAGTGATATTTGGTACATTTGACAAGTTACTACTTGTATACAGAGTGTGCAAATTTCAATTGGTTTCAAGTTCCCAAATTTGAATTATCAACTTTTTTTTAAGTAGCCACACTTGTTGGAATTTGCTATTTTGCAAGCTTTTTTATCAGTTTCTCAGAGTTTTTTCGCTCCTTGTTTGAATTTTCGGATGTCCAAGTGTCCGCCTAATTCAAACAGTGAATCAGTCAGTGACTGAACAAGCAAATAGGGTTTGTGAACGTTTGAAGCAGATCGTGAGCATTCAAAGTGCATTTGAGGATGTATGAAACCATTTAGTGGGTTTCTGAGTTTCAGTCTTGACTGGAAATGTTTTTTGTTGAAAAAACAGTTTGCGCTTTGGCTCGTTAATTGCGTGTTAGAATCACGTTTGATTTTATTGATAGAACCAATCTGGAAGTGCGTTTGCAAACGTTTTTCTCTATTTGCGAATGTGGGAATGTTTCTCTATAACTCACAGGCAAAACAAGGTTTTCTAGAGCATTCGGCATGAAAAAAGCCGTAAATTTGAAGTGTTCCACTCCCCTCTATATCGCGCAAAATTGCGCCAGACATACGGAAGAGGCTCAATTTTTAATGAGCGTCATCAACTCGGTGCGGGCTTTTATTGCTTTTATCCAGTTTTTCTGTCTGTTGAAATCGCACGACTATGATTTATATGTAACACGTAAAAGCCGCGTAAAACATACAAGCATAGAGATCGCCATCAGTGCACAAAGAGGTCACGGCAGCGCCATATTTGTCTAATACCACTTCGATGCAAGCAACCTTACACAAGCGAAAAAAATGGCCTTCGCTAAAAGGGTTTCAACACACCTCATAATACCCGTTCGGTGTATCTAACAGCGGAAATGTTCGCGAAGAGTTTGCCATCAGAAGCCGCACTGAAAAAAAGCCAATTATTGGACCGATTATAATGCCAGCTGGATATGGAACGCATTATTTATTTGGTCCGAGTTACAGATCAGAATTTTGATATCAAAACGTTGTTTTGTTTGATTTATTGGGCTGCAACCAGGGCCAATCAGTTAAGCCTTTTATGGGGAACACAATTAAATAAATGTTATTAAATAGATGGGGTTCAGGTGGCGTTTAATGGAGAAACGCGCTCATTTTCCGCTCGAGTTGAAGAAAACTTTCGATGTTCGATTGGTTAATGGCAGTTTGAGAAGCTGAAACTTTTATGGGCGACATTCAACTAAATCAGTTCACTTCGGTTTTGTCCGCATACAATTATCATATTTTAATGGAAACTTTTTGACTTTTTACTCCCACTTTGGGTGCTTTTGTTTAATTTTCTATAGCGTGAAGGAGAACTTCTAAATAACTTTGAAGAAACTGGGTTCAAGAAGGAGTTTCAAATTGGGCTACTTCTGTGAAGGGATTTGTTCAAAAAAACCTTTCTTTGACAACAGGCTGCACTATAAGTAAAAACGCTTGTTTAAACAATGAAAGCTGATGTTGTGAAGTGAGGTTATATGTGGTGAACTTTGGAGGTGGATAACTTCTGATTGGTGCAAGCCATTTCAGTTGGAATTAAAGCATTCTTTTGATCAACTCTTTGCCTATTAGTGCAAGGTTTTGCAAAAAGTGAGTATTTCTGACAAAGTCCCTACAGAATGGCAAATAAAACGATGCAAATTGTCTGCTTTTGACTGTTTGCCAGTTGAACAACACAGATTTTTTAAGTCTCTCAAGTCCAAAAGCGGACAGACAGGGCTTAAAGCGTGAACCAGTTTCAGTTTTTTCCTATTTGTTTCAATTACAGGGTATCCCCAAAAAATTAATTTTTTGTTGGACCAATTCACAAAACCTAAAGCTCGTATTGAAGTTGAAACTGCACAATCGACTTAAGACCAACATTAAATGTACAGGGTTGCATTGCAAGTGACCCAAATCAAAACTGTCTTCGAAATCCGGGATTCCGACAGACTTTCAATTAAAGTGCAGTATACTTTCAAACTAGCCGTTCATTTGTGCCACCCTATGTGTTGAACTTTTGACTTAAGTCATCCGTGAAAAATTATAACTGAAAAGCTGCAAAATTGACGTTATGAGACCACCCTGTACATACAAAATAGAGGCGAAAAATTCAAAAAGGTTTTGAGCTACAAGGTCTGTTTTTGATGCATAAATCCAAAAAAACACTAAATTCTTCCAAAGAGACCCACGGAGAGCCAAAGAATGGTTCTAGAAAACATTTGAAATTGCAATCAAATCGCTTAAAGCAGTCAGAATCTGTCCGGTTCCAAACTTAAGGTAGCGCTTATTTTGTTGAGCTGTTCCTATCATAACCTCACTTCACTACATCAGCTTTCATTGATTCATCGTTACGCATGTTTGACATTTCAGTCTGTGACGCTGCCCTGTGATGCTTAGATGCATGGTTGCCGTTGTGATTTTTACTAAAGTAAAAACCTTAACCGGCAATGTAACAGTAAATCTGCTATTTACAGGATTTTCCATTAACTATTCAACCAATCTCAACAGTTTACCGAA